GCTTACCATTCGAAGAGATTTGGCTTCGCTGAAAATTAGATATGATGTTGGATAGAAAATAAGTGCATCAGGAAACTTTCATAGAAGGATTTCTCTTCAACTGGGTTTTGGCGAAGCATACGTTTAGGATATTGTCTTCAGGAAGAATAGTTTTAATTGCATAATGGCTCTTTTTGTGATGTCAACAAAATTCGAGCCGGTAGGTCTTGGAAAAACTGTGTTCTCCCTAAAATTCCTCCTATGGTTAGGATTATTTAGAAAATGTTCAAGTCATAATGACGAAGTGGGATAATGGAGTTACCTTGTACTTGTATTATCCAGAACCCTAGGAGGCACTGCACGTAAGCCACGATCAACGTTGCTCAATCGATGTCACTGATTTGGCTAACATTTTTACAGTAGGTAGGACCAATAGACCTAGGAAGAAACTGAAAATTTTAGCTCAAACCTATGAGCCATTTTGGAGATATAGACGATACAAGTGTGAGGGGGTAGGTCCCATTTGGAGTACTTCATAGTGCAACACTTTTCAGTAAATCTACATTTTCTAGAGAACAACAAGAGATATAACCGAGATTTTTTTACCATAAATACTATCGACGATGGGCTATATTTTTATGGTAATAAAAGTATCTCATCCCTGGATGATTTTTGCCTGGCATTATATACCATTTTCAGAAAACATCCTCACGTAGATATGGAAATTTGGTCGGATCAGCGCGGTAGAATAAATCGAGAGTAGTCTCATCTGAAAGAGCACATCAAAATGCATCGACTGACGTTTTCAAAAGTTTGTAGAATTGAACTTTGGTAGCAAACATTTTTTAAACAAGACTGGAAGGGCCAAATTTGGGTCCCGACTCTCCCTATGAAGATTGATGATTTATTTTCAAATATTCAATTTAAGTGTTTCAAATGAAAGCCCTTGTCGAGAAACCTCTAAATTAAAAATTTCAGCTCATTTGAACTTGTCTGTGAAAAATGGTGAAGGAGTTACTTTTTAGAATTTTACAGGGTAATATATATAGTCCGTCTAAGCTTTCTAATAGTCGTATTTTAGTTAAAGTGCAACCAAAAGATCTGAAATTTTCACCATAAACTATTCTTATCAAGTCCTTAATATACACAAAGTTTTAGGTCAAAATTCGAACTCTGATTTTTCTTCCTGGTCTTGAGGGGAACCACGACAATTTCCCATAGGGAATTCGAAAAAAATCAAAGTTCGAATTTTGACCTGAAACTTTACATATAGAAAGGGCTTCATGAGTATAACTTATAGTAAAAATTTCAGATCTCTTGGGTGCACTTTAACTGGAATATGAATGTGAGAAAAATTAGATGGCCTATGTATTCTATTCTATGATATTTCACAATAAGTAAATGTTCCATCATTTTTCACAGATAAGTTCAAATGAGCTGAAAATTTTAATTTAGAGGTTTCTCGATATGAGCTTTCATCTGAAATGCTTAAATCGAATATTTGAGAGTAAATCGCCAATCTGTATAGTGAGAATTGGGCCCTAAATTCGGCTCTTCCAGTCTTGTTAAAAAATTTTTGCTACCAAAGTTCAATTCTACAAACTTTTGAAAACGTCAGTCGATGTATTTTGATGTGCTCTTTCAGATGAGACTACTCTCGATTTATTCTAGCGCGCTGATTCGACCAACTTGCCGTATCTACGTGAGGATGTTTTCTGAAAATGGTATATAATGCCAGGCAAAAATCATCCAGGGATGAGATACTTTTATTACCATAAAAATATAGCCCATCGTCGATAGTATTTATGGTAAAAAAATCTCGGTTATATCTCTTGTTGTTCTCAAGAAAATGGAGATTTACTGAAAAGTGTTGCACTATGAAGTACTCCTAATGGGACCTATCCTATCACACTTGTATCGTCTATATCTCCAGAATGGCTCATAGATTTGAGCTAAAATTTTCAGTTTCTTCCTAAGTCTATTGATCCTACCTACTGTAAAAATATTAGCCAAATCAGTGACATCGATTGAGCAACGTTGGTCGTGGCTTACGTGCAGTGCCTCCTAGGTAGTTTAGCAGAATAAGTATTTTCTGGAAGGACGGGGGCGTATAAGCATTCGAAAATGGGCTTCTAACTGATCATAGAAAATTCATTAGTAACTCGGTGCAGAAAAGTGAGGCGAGTTTTCGTATACCGAATCCCAGGGAAATTTTCGATATTCAAGTTGTTTTCAATTGAAAATACTGTAAAACATCATAAAAGTCTTCTAAGACCTTTAGTGGGCTCTTAGTGTATTGGTAGGAGAGTCCAATATTTAACCAAAATATAAAACTTTTTGGAAATATGGTAAGCCCAATTAGTCTTCAATAGAAAGAAAATTTAATTCTGCATCATTCCATATAAGAACTATTATTTTTTTACGAATTTTTCCTTGGATTCGGTATACGAAAACTCATCTCACTTTTCTGCACAGAGTTACTAATGAATTGCTTATGAACAGCTAGCGGCCGATTTTTCAATGCTTATAGGCCCCCGTCCTTCATTATGAAAGTCGTCGGATCTTGAGTATAAAGTGTCTTTACACTAGAAATTGTTATGATTAATAAATGGCTGAATTTTTCAGATTTACTCTTACTAAAGATCACCATGACAAGTTCAAATACAAACGAGACTATTTCCAGAATTGTCACTTCAAACAATGCTATCAAGCGTTCAACAAAAGATACAATACAAAAATTTCTAGGCTTGCAACAAGAATTTTTCAAAAACATCACTACTCAATACGATAAATTAGAAACTATCCACCAAGTGACCGATATCTTTTTTGATGATGAAAAAAAGGAAAAACTTCACAACTTTAAAGTGTTTGATAAAATGCAATTGGTCGTCTGTGGCTATAATTCTGCAGGAAAGACGTCATTTTTGCATGATTTTCTCGAGTGCGGGAAGTTTCTGCCGACTGGAACCGGTGCCGTGACGGCTCGCATTGTCAAATTCTCCTATGCACCATCCGATCAAGCATGTCTATTAGAACATACCTCTGTGGAATCAACTTTTACTGAACGACAACCTTTATTTTTAAGCGATCTGTCGCCTTATTTTGATACAAATATCACAAATCGACGAGAAAATACCAAAGCACTTAAAGAGACTGTTAAAAAGCATTTGGAGCGGCCCGATTACGAAGTTTCATCGCAAGAGTTTGTAGATTGGGCCTCACATTTAATTGAGATTCGCATTCCATCGCCGATTCTCGAACTTGGAATGGAAGTATACGATACACCAGGCTTTCTTGGCCACGATGCACCCGTTCTGGTCACAAATTTACAGACACTTGTCAAAGTCGTACGTCCTTCGCTCTTATTTCTATATGAAAACTCATCGTTTGCTGACGATACACTAAATTGTTTTCGTGCATTGAAAGCTGCACTTGGCCATCTCGAGGATACTGGCGTGTTCTTTCTGAATACCAAAGCCGATGTATCAACAATTTTGCGTGATGCTGAAATTGATGAGAACGAGGGTAAACTCGAAAAGGATCAGTGCGATAAGTTGCTTGATCAAGAACGAGAACGCCGATATGAACTATTGATAAAAGTGGAATCTGTGCAAAACGAAATGCCAGGCAATAATTTGCGTCCAAAACTGGCCGAATGCGATTGTTTCGATATATTCAGTGTAGACCAATCCAGCCATTCAATGACACAAGCAATGCAGCAAAAGGCAACTGATCGTATTATACAATTTGCAGCTGAATATGATTTGCAGGGAACTAAATATGTTAGTAAAATTATATTAGATGCTATCGATGCCTTCTTTGATTTCGTACTCGTCGTCAATCGACGTTCGCCAGCTACATGGAATCGATTACGCGAAGATGCTTTAAAATGGGGTGAAGAATTCTTTGGGCAATATTATACCAAACTTCATATAATAGCAGAGGAGATTCAGGAAGGTATATCTCAGAAGTTTTGTGAACGTCATGATGATATTAGACAAAAAGCTTCCATCGGCTTCGAAGAAACATGGCTCACACCTTACAGACTTGTATTGGATTCTATGCCAGGAAGCCGGACAAATGTACGCAATCTTCATGCAGATTTTATTAATTCAACTGTTGAAGAAGAAGTTATTCGACCTGTGTTAAAGCAGGTAATCAGTAAAATGAACAATGAAATGAAACAGCTGGCCTACGAACGAACTAAAATAATAACCTTAACCAAAAATGAGCTTCTCTGTGCAGCGTTTCGTGAAGTATTAACGAATATTACTAGGATCGAAAACCTACCCATAAATGTTGGTTTCTTTACTCGACTAATTTTAGAAACAGCAGGCATCATTTATCTTCCTTTGACACTACTTTTATGGGGTTTATCCATGTTGGCTTTGAGAAAGAGCTATAAATCACTGCAAATCGATAGAAAGCAAACAGCAGTAGATCACTATTTAGTTGATCTCGAACATCGTTTGGCTAATATTAGTAAAGAAGTGGAAGTAAACTTGCAAAAGTGGCTCAACGGAAATCACACACAATTCAAACGTAAGATAGACAATTATCACAGCATCGTTCAAAAGACAATGGAACACCGCGATAAAATCTATCAGCTGACTCGCGAATTTTCTGAACGATTTGCACGCATTGAGTGTCGCCTCATTGCCAATCTTGACATGGCTAAACATAGGGGAAATGATCCTGTGATTGGTAAAGAGTCAATAGGTCAGGGCGGCTTTTTTACTGTTTATCCAGCTTCTTGGGATGTCGACCAACAACTCGTAGCCAAAGTACTCCATGATCATATATCAAATCCTCACATGGCTCACTTGGAGGCACATTTTCATCGTACTGTCACACGTCTCCATATTGAACATGTGGTTCCCCTTAGTTATCTCTTCGAAAAAGAATTGCAGCAGCAGGCATCAGCATCAACATCCGTTGACAACAAGCAGCTCTTCATCCTTCTGCCTCGTTATCCGACCAACTTACGTGATTATCTTTTTAGAAAAAACGGCAATATTTCAATGGATAAAGCCGTGCAAATCGCGCTCGATATTGCCCGTGTGATTGAACATATCCATGCCTATGAATTTGTACATCAAGATGTCAAACCACGTAACATTCTACTTGACAATGATGAACAGGTCTTTCTCCCTGATTTTGGTACATGTCAACATGGTACTGGGAATGTAACCGTGATTGGATCGCGCCCATGCGCTCCAGAACTGACTACAGATCATCCGTTCTCCTACGATGGAGCAGCACTTGATGTCTTCTCATTAGGTACACTCATGTACGCAGTTGCACCTAAACAAACATATCTAGAACCAATGCAGCCGATCACACAGGCTGATCTGAACAGTCTTGATCAAACTGTTGTTCTGGATAGCTTTCAGCAACTAATACTTCAATGTGTTGATTTTGATCCTAAGCAACGTCCGACAGCATCACAAGTTGTTCAGAAACTGAAAGAAATTGCTGATCAAGTGGCTAATGGACGACCATGTCTCGTATGCTTGGATCAGCCGCGTTATCGGCGATGCCTTCCTTGTGGTCATAAGATCATGTGTAACACGTGCCTTGACCAAATGCAAAAATCAAATCCAATGCCCCGATGTATTCTTTGCAGACAAATATTCACGAGTACGCAGGAAGATCACGATGGACATACTTATGCAACGACCATTCGAACAAACCAAACATCATGATCCTGCAATTCCTATCAGTGTTTTTCTTAAGCTTAACATAAATATAAACGATTTTTTGCTTTCAACATTGCATCTGCCGAATATCGATGACACTGAGATAGTATAACTACATTTTTTAAAATAAATCCTTCTAATTCTAATATATTTGGCAATTTTGATGCGTCAATCAATATCACCACCTGTCAGCTATCCTTCCACAATGCAGCTTTTCCTTATTTTTTATCATCGTAAAACAGATTGACTTGTAAATCTATGACACAAACCAATCTGCTGATCACAACTCTTGCTTTTCAGCAATCGATGTTTTGTTGAAATAATTTCAAACATAGATAATGTGCTTTAAATTAAGAATAAATGCAGAGTTTATTTAAGCTATGTGTTCAATGTTTTTTATTGAAATACAAACACTCATCAGAGTTCTGTATTACAGTTTTAAGCACAAAATACAAAAAGCTAAATAATAGCCTAAAAAGAAAGGCAAGAAGCAAAGAAAAATAAGAAAGAACATATAGATATAAGTTGAAAATATGAGAGACAATAACTGTCTTAAATAGTCGAAAATCAACTACAATCTTGTTCAACATTCGAAATCTGTAATTCATTATATTCGTTTGCTTCACATGTTATTATATATCAACTAATACACATCAAGAAATACAGTCAATTCTAATGGGCTGGGTGTGGGTTGTGTGTGGGTGTGGGTCGGGATGGATATACTTGTTGAATTAACTCACACTCCCATCCACACCCCACACCCACACCCTAGTTTGCATTGTCACCAGCTCTGATTTGTGTGTGAAGGCAGGTGATGTTACACATTCCGAAGAGTGCTGAGTAATAAAAGAAGAAAAAGAAAAAGAACAGGAAAAAAGAAATATTTACTTTGGACTTGTGTCGCAAGTCAGTTATAAAGTGCACCTTCGAAACTAAAGATAAAATGTCGTATAATAAGTCTGACTCAAACAATGCTCAAAATAAGAAAATTCGAGATCTTATAGAAATTTCTCAAAATGAATCCTACTGGAATTTCTATGGTGAGAAACTCATTGATTCTGATATTGAATTAATTGCAAATGAATTGAAGCAAGGAAATAGAAACTGTCAAGTGCTTGATTTATTCAAAAACAAAATTACGTCTAAAGGTGCTCTGTATTTGAGTGAAATGTTAAAAGTAAACGAAACACTGCGAACTCTCAATCTTCGATGGAATCAAATTGATGATGATGGTGCAAAAAGTCTGTTCGATGTTTTGAAAGATGGGAATAGAACTCTTGAACGCCTTCATCTCGATCTCAATCAAATTACAGACAAAAGTGTCGTGAGTATTCTGGAAATGATCAATGGAAATCGAACGTTGACACTTTTAATTCTTACTGATAATCAAATATCAGAAGATAATCAACGACAATTAGAGAAGGCCGGCCAATTGAGAGAATCACTTCGGCTGGACATTCGATTCTGTTAGAGTTTTTCAAGTTTGCTCCAGTGAGAAGTTTATTTCTATTTGACATGATTAATTCTCTTCTTTTATTTAATTTAATATTAAAAACATAAAATTAACATAAACTAGTGACATTTGGTACCTTGAAAAGATACTTCGTCAAACATAAACATACAGGAAACAGAACATATTAGAACAAACAAATTAGACTATTTTCAGTCAACTTTTATAGTGGTAGGAAAAACAAGACGGCAATAGTGACTAGGTCAAGATTTAATCCTTTTCCGCAGTAGTGGACAACGATCTGATCAGTAGAAAAAATGATAGATTCAAACGGAAAGTTGTCGTTCAGGTCAAAAATCCCACGTTGGAATGTACAGTGAATAGCTGGGGCCATTTTCGCCGATGAAGATTCTTCGATAAAACTGCCACGACACACTACCATCAATGGAATCACCCAAGTAAAAAGATTAATAATATAAAACGCGAAATATGCATTTATGACACTATCCCAATAAGATATCTTGGATTGATTTAGATACATTATAATAACAAGAATATGTGAAAGAAGACAAGCGTATTCATAACTCCATATTGTTATATACCTAAAAAAAATTTTCATTCATTCAGAATTAGAAAAATTCGAAAATTATTTTTCGGCAAATGCGAGACGGCGATACCCTTAAATTATCAAAGAATGGTGAATCAATTCACTGATGAAAACTTCACCGCTAATACATGAGAAACGTGCCTTATTATTTTTTAAAGAGAGTAGCAAGTCTGTTGTTTTTATGGTGCTCATAGTAGAAATAATAGCACGTCTACTGATAGTAGTAATAGATTTTTTCACTTGCACGTAGATATCTGTCAGTAGGGTTCTAGAACTTTTACATGTTTTAAAAATTAAATAGGCTTCTTATTTACAATTGATATGTTATTGTACTGAAGTATATTATTTCCCTAGTCTATTCTTCTCCATTTATCACATTATAATTTGTCTTTTGATTACGATTTTTCTTTTCTATATTTGACTCACGCAAAAAAATATATATCTTACCTTTTTGAACCAGGAAACCATAAAAATGGAGTTAATGTCCAAAAACATAATTGTAATAATTCTAATATTAATGATGCTGTTAATACTCTACCTTTTATTTCACTAGTTGGTAATTGATAGTGTATCTTATTATCAATTATAAAATATGATGTATGTTATAACTTTATTAATAATAATGCCTGAAATATGATGAATAACAAAACAATATGAATCATTTTCCAGTGCGTTTTTATCATTTTTAGCAAGTGAAACAAGTAAAAATGTTAAAGCCATTAACGCTATTAATGATAACGTTAATATAAATCCATCATAATAACCATAATACATGTCAACAATAATAATTATTATAAAGTATAATACTGAAAATAAAGTTGATCCTTTCATTATTAAACATGCTAATGTCTTCGTATAACTGTTACATCCATAGTTAATCGGTGGAATCACACCAAATGATATACCGGAAAACAAATCTTGTATAGCTGCAGCTAAACATGCGAGTCCTTGTATAAAACTAAGCCAATCCATTACGTATAAAACTAAGACGAAGAATACAGAAGGTGTATATTGAGTGTTAACGGAGATATTCGATCTTCAACGTATCTTCTGCAACCAACTTTATTTGCTAAACGGTCACAATATATGTACGAATGCGATAGGAAAAATCTAAGATAGTAGGGAGAAAAACCTGAACGTGAAGGAAAAGAGAAAACAATGCATATATATGTCGCGTGTCATCTATATGACATGATGGAAAAATAGAAAAGAAAGAAATATCCAACTATATGGGTCACACTATAACAATGAGTATGAATGATGATAAAAACAGCGACAGTTTACCTCCATCAAACAAGAAAATAAAAATATTTCTTATCTAACATAATAGCATCTGCTTGGTCAAAATCCTAAAAACATGCATGCCAAGATCTCAATAACGTATTGGGCAGAGAAAATGAAGCGACTTTGCAAAGCATTTTCTCAAGTTAAACTCGATCAGAAAATTTCAATATTAGGTCAAAATAATAGAGAATCGTACCCTAAATTTCATTTTACATGTTATTTGAAAAATAACTACGTCAAGTTCTTTTACAACAGTGAAAACATTGGAAGCCTGGCGAACCAGACAACTTCCAATTTTCCGATACAAATCATATAAAGGGTGTCCAGTAAGTTCTGGATCTCTCATGCAATATATTTTTCTTACATATTTCTAGAGTAGAAGAGGCTGATATTTATGGCATATATAGTATACCTTTTGATCTACTCGATGCTAGAATTTGAATTTTCTACGTATTATTGTTACTGAAATACAAGCACTACAAAAACCGAAGAAAACATGAGATGCAAAAGTAATACGACAAATATCAGTCCAGATTTCCCTCTGATATAAGGATGCTGAAAAGGTGTGGGTGTGGGTATCGATAGGAGTGTGGATGTTGGTATTACTATGGGTAAACTCAAGACCAACACCGACACCCACACCTACACTCACATACATCAACACCCACACCCACAAAAATCAATCAAGTTAAATATCAACTTTTCAATATCATAGAAATAGATTGATCAACCTTTGAAGACAAAAATAAATATCAAAATAGAATGAATATATTTATTTATGGTAGAGTTTTTTCTTTAGTTCAATCGTTTTTTCAATATTTTATTCAGGTGTTCGTCGTTGATGAAAAATTCCTGATATCATGCCAACGAAGTATATTCTCATTATGATGATCCTGTACAATTTCTGCTTGGTTATATTCCTTTTATTCTATGACAAGATGACAGAAACTGAAAATAAATGGTAGTAGTATTCGATCTTATCGAGCAGCATATTGACTTATTACATAAGCACTACTCTAAAGCAAAAGAATCGACGTGACAGTTCTTGAAAAGTGGAAAAGGAAAGTCACTTCTTCATTTGTATACTCTCAAAACATCATTTTATAAATATATCAACCAAGATAAAGAATTGCGTGAAATGTTTGCTTCGTCAATTTCTTCGTAAACGAGCATTTAAAGATCGTTGTTATCGTGACTTTTAAGCATAGCATCTGAAGATGTGGTTGTACATCAAAGAGTCATTCAAAACAATTATTAGTAATTGTTCTTTCAAATTTTATTTAGTTTTTTTGTAAAGTTTTATTCAATGAAATACCGTGCACAAAGTCAATTGAATGTCTGTTCTGAATAAAAACAAAATGGAATCAAGTTGTGCAAGAGAATTTTGAGATGAATTCAAATAGATTTTTGTTTTTATTTCACCAGAAAATAGACGGTCACCTAACTGTGAATTTCATGAACGGCTTTTATTAAAAGTAAAAAAGATTGAATATGATTGTATTAAACGCTAACATTTTTAGAAATCAATATCAAGAATAATCATAATAAAAAACAAATGAAGTCTAGAAAAAGCAAGAAAATGGATTATTTAAATTTATTGTTATTTTATTATTCGGTTAATCTTTAATCTGATTTTTAACACCAGCAGGAAGAAGAGACAAGCTCATGAATTGAGATGTAAACAGATCAACCAACCAAGCAGGAAGCATAGAAATTGGATAAAAGAAAAATTTTGCGTACCAATCTGGATGATATCGAATACGAGGTTTACTATTCATTACGGCATGTCGGAGTGCTCGTACCACTTTTATTGGATTGTCAGCATAATTAAAAAGAAGATTATTTGTTACTGCTCTCTTAAGTAAATCATTGAAAAAATCTTCTCCCCATCTTTTGCGTACATCTGATGATAATCCATTCCATAATTCTTGCATTAAACGATCGTGTCCTTCAATAATCGGTGTTCGTAAACAACCAGGTTCGATAATACACACTCGTAAACCCCATGGAGTCATTTCACGACGAAGACAATCAGAAAATGATTCAAAAGCATATTTTGAAGCACAATATGCTGACATACCTGGTGGAGTGATAAATCCCATAACTGAACAAATATTAACCACTCGACAGTCACGTTTAGCTATTAATAATGGTAAAAACTTTTTTGTCATAGTTACATGTCCAAAAAAATTCACATCCATTATTTTGTGCATGGATTCTAATGTTATCCAATCGATGAACCCACCCGCACCAATCCCAGCATTATTAACAAGTGCATGAAGTACATTTGTCTTTTCTTTGACTAATTCAAATGCACCATTAATATCTTCTTGTTTAGTTATATCAAGACGAAAGACAGTAGCTTTAGGTGAAAGTTTATTTTTCAATGAATCTACATTCTCAGGAACATATACACCAGCAAGGACATTAAAACCTTGTTTATCAAGTTCTAAAGCTAATCCATGACCAAATCCTGTATCACAGCCACTAATAAGAACATATTTATCCTTTGAATTGATATCCGGTGCTGGAAAAAAATGTTGATACAAACGGTAAGCCCCATAGAGGATGATTATTAAACCAATAATTAGACACATGATAGCTTATTCTGCAAGACTTTTGAAAAAAAAGGCTTGGTTATTTTCACTAAATATGATAAGAAATAAAAGAAACATGTGACACTTCGTAAAGATAAATATCTATATAGATAATAAAAACGATTCGTTTATCATATATTTTTCTTACATATATGTTTATCTGTAAAAATATATTTTGTTCATCATAATGAGATAAGAACATATGTTAGAAAGACACAAATGAAGTCATCTTTATAGGAAAACATTCGAATAAAACAATATTTTTCATTTATTATGCAGTTATAGAATTACAAAAAAAAATTAGATTTATGTTGGAATATCAATAAGAATCAACAAGAAATTATAAAAAAGACAATAATGGTTAATATTCAAAGACATTTAAAGAAAGAAATAGTTTATAAATTCTTTAAATTTAACATTTGGGGCATCCATAGACGGTGAAGCGACTAGATCTGAGAAGGATCGATCCTATCCAAGATTGAACGAGTATAGACTTTAACAGACTTGATTTAATATAAAAATTTTCTATTATTGGTTAATTCTTATTTTCTTCTGACAGATGATGTGTTAATACAAAGTTCAGTCCGTATTTAATTCACTATCAACTCTTGCGTTCAATGAGATATTGTTTGAGTTTCGTTGGCATCTACGTTGGCATGGAATCTTGTGTTCTTAATACTAGGTACTCCAGTTGTTCTCCTAAATTTCTGCACTATGTAGAACAATTATTTGAATACCTCTAGTTATTCTTTTATAGCGCCGCTATTTCACACCAAAAATATTTCGAATAATATCTTATTTGATAGAAAAAATAGTTTTCTAGACGCTGATATGCTTTTCAAATGGAAAAATTATTAATAGAATCCTCAAAATTTCGAAATATTGGAAGTCCTGTAAGTTTTACAAAGCACCCAAATTTCTCAGGTTTCATAAAATGAAGAATCGACTCGAAATATACCATTTGATATGGGAGATCAATCTGAGTCAGATCGTTTCATCCGCTTTCAAAAATCATTAAATAATAAAGGCATTAATTGCTAATTAAAATTAGTCTCCTAAATCATTAAATTAGGGATGTTAATTTGAATTTAGTCATCGTAGATTATTTTGTTTTTCGTTAAATAAATAGTGTTCTAGTCAGCAGCGAATCTTTCGATAAAAACTGCTTATAGTTTTGATTAGATTCTAAAAACAAATTCAATATATATTTTTTAAATGCAATTGAAATTTAAAAAAAAAATAGTAAAATTTCACCGACTTAAATAAATATGTTAAATGATATTGCATTTTCAGAATTTTTTGAAATAATTTGTACTCACATAGAATTCAAATAGAAGTTTACATTAAAATCAAAAATTAAGATATAGAATGACATGATACATTCAGCTGGATAAGCTAATCGATATGCAAACTGAAGGTCTAGAGATCTATACTCTGTTTTCATTTCTCTTATGATCTGTTTAATCCTTTGTCCTTCATTGGCAATTGGAATTGCCATTTTGTAGAATGATTGCAGAAAATAAAGGAAGCATGGGATTTGAAAATGATAAAAAATTTTTGTAGTGAACTTTATGAGCTATCGATTGGTAAAAAGAATAATTTTTTTCATCACTCCATCTTTGAGATATTTGATCAACAAAATCGATAATTTTGAAAAAACTCGAATTTTTCGAAAGAAATCGTTTTTCACCTACAGTAAATAAAGATCTTTTCGAAATTTCTATGTGATATAAATTGATGAAAGTGTCTACTAGTAAGTTAAATTAGTTTCGAATTCATTGCGATAAGTTGACCAATTGTACATACTAACGCACATAACTGACCAAGGAGCCATTATGAGGCATCTTTAGGATAATTAAGAGAAATGGTCATATGTGTATTATAAACCTCAGCCCATGAGAAGTTCGGCTGATTAGTTCAGAGAATCAGCTGTTATTTGTCGACAACTATCTAAGAGAAAATATATATTCAAGATTATTATACCGACAGAGAAATCACCACTTAGCTATTGATACATTCCTCGACGATATTGTTGATTTAAAGGAAAAATATTCTATGATAATGGATTATGGCAAGGATCAATATAACATTCGAAAAAGAATAGGGATCAATTCAATAAGCTATTGTCATTCGTATAATACATTTATGAAACCGACTTATACTCAGAATTATATTCTCTAACGAACAATACAATTACTACTTCGTGAATGATTTTTCTTATAGAAACTAGATGGTATATTAATGTCAGTTCTTTTTTAGGCCGTATTTAATTCAATCTTTAGTATTCCGATTTCCACCGTTAAAAAAATAGCTGTGGAAACAATGAAATTAAAATAAATAATGGAATTTTTTGAAGAGTATGTACATAAAATAAAAGTAATTTTAAAATGAAAATGAGAAATGATTCTTAAATGAGCACAGATGCATGAATTATCGCGAGTACGCCACAGAGTACTCAAAATGATATCGTTCATGGAATAGATGTTGCGCCTCTTTAACACTGATTCTATTGCCGTCAATCTTGAGTATGATGAGTGTCTGGATTAAAACATAAAGGTGAATATGCAGCGGACAAGAAGAAAAATTGTCTCACAGTATTTTTTTGTAATGCTCGAGCCAGATATTCAGCTCCTTCAGTAAGGATTTGATTTCTCCTAAGGTCGAGCGTGGTGAGTGTCTGTATTGATACGTAATGGCGAAATTATAGTCGATGAAAAGAAAACTTGTCTCATCGTATTATTTTGTAATGCCTGAAACAGATGTTGTGCTCCTCGAGCACTGATTTCATTCAACCCAAGATTGAGTGTGATGAGTGTCTTTATTAAAACATAATCATGAAATTATAGTCGATGAAAAGAAAACTTGTCTAACCGTGTTATTTTGAAATGCTCGAGATAAATATTCCAGTCCTTCATCACCAAATTTATTGTAGTGAAGATTAAGCTCTGTGAGTGTCTATATTAAAATAATATGGCCACTGTACATCCGATGAAAAGAAAACTTGTCTGACAGTGTTATTTTGTAATCCTTGAGCAAGATACTGTGCTGCTACAGAATCAATGTTGCTGCTTTCAAGATTGAGCATGGTAAGTGTCTGTATGGAAACAGAATCGTGAAATTATCGTCAATCGAAAGAAAACTTATCCGACTGTAGTATTCTGTAATGCTTCAGCCAGATATTGTGCTCCATTAGAACCAATATCGTTGCTTCGGAGGGTAAGGTTGCTGAGTGTCTGGATTGAAATATAATAGTGAGAATGTACCGTTGATGAGGAGAAAATTGGTCTTACCTTGTTGTTCTGTAATGTTTGGGTTAGATATTGTATTCCATTAAAATCAATGTTGTTTCCTCCAAGGTCAAGTGTCGTCAGTGTCTACATCGAAACAATATTGAATTTATAGGCGTACAAAAGAAAATTTGTCTTACCACGTTGTTTTGTAACGCTTGAGTCAGATATTGTGTTCCTTCATCACCAATTTCATTGAGCCAAAAATTGAGCGTAGTGAGTGCTATATTGAAGCACAATTGTGACTTTATACTCGATGAAAAGAAAACTTATCCGACCGTATTATTCTGTAATGTTCGAGCTATATATTTCGCCCCTTCAACACCGATTCTGTTATGGGAAAGGTCAAGCGTGGTAAGTGCCTGTATTGAAACATAATGATGAATGTACAGTTGATGAAAGAGAAAGCTCTCTGACCCTGTTATTCTGCAATGCTTGAGCCAGATGTTGTACCCCTTCACCATGAATCCCATTGAAGGCAAGATTGAGCGTAGTAAGAGTCTATATTAAAAGATAATGGTGAACTATAGTTGATGAAAAGAAAAATCGTGTCACTGTGTTATTCTGTAACGCTTGAGTCATGTATTGTGCTCCTGTAATACCAATTTTGTTAAATTGAAGTTCTAGTGTAGTGAGTGTCTGCACGTAAATATCATGATGAATTTACATTTGATGAGAAGAAAACTTGTCTAACCGTATTATTCTGTAATGCTTGAGCAAGATACTGCGCCCCTTCTTCATCGATCTCGTTGGAACAAAGATTGAGCATGGTGAGTGTCTGTATGGAAACGAAATAGCGGATTGAACGTAGATGGGAGACAAACTTGTCTCACAGTGTTATTGTGTAATGCGTTAGCCAGTTGTTGAATTTTTTGAGCAGGAATTAATTCTCATGTCAGCATAAGTTCGTTGAATGTCTATATGGTTTTTTTTTATTAAAGTGAACATTTTGTAATCGAAGAGTCTGAATTACATGCGGCCTTCCAGGGTCATTCACTTGCCTTTACTAGAGCTCTTAATGTTTTTTTTGGACAGTTCTTCATACTGGTGTTTTGTGTACTCTGTCCATCATTCCAGTATCACATCAATATTTCTCGATCTGTTTTTAAAACTGTTTTGACTGGTATGCTTTTTCTTGTTAGTTTTCGTATCAACAGTGAGAGGTGCCGGAGATTTTTTGGTAGAAATATCTTTTTGCATGAATATATCGACAAAAAATCGTAAACTATGATTACTTCTGCCATGGTTCTAACCGATTATAATAAATCTCCAGCACTGCTGTCAAGGGAAAAACAGCGTACTCCTGTACTCCTTGATGCTCTCTTTGTACACCATCGAACCATAGAGCTCTCTAGCAACAGAACATAAATAAAAGGTACCGAAAAAAAGTAACGAAACCTATACATGACAGAGCTCTCAGGAACGCAAGAAAGAATGAGACAGACAAGAGAAAGAAAGTTGATACACGTGCAATATTTATTTGATATTACGAGCATTCGAGACATCTATGGGCTAGAAAATTATTTTATCTTTCCGTTGAGCGTCACCTAAACCAATCATCAGTATTATTTATTACCCATGTCATTAGTAATTCGACTTCTTCTCAGTATCACTGCTAGAAAAACTATAATCATGCTCTACAAATGATCCATTCATTCATGTCTTCTTCCCTGTTGATGTGCTTGAGACGGATGTATCTGAATTTAACCATCGTTCCCCAACGGATTTTGACCATACCGGTTTGGTCAGTTGACAACTGCAAAGGGAACTTTTTTTGGTTTCGACCTAGCTCCATAATCCCGAAGCAATAAGCAATGGGTTTTAAAATGCTACTTATACTTTTTTGATAAATATGTATACGTATTCCAATTTGAGTGGTTACTAATTCCGCTTGCGCTGCAGCAACTCAAGCTCCAGGTGTAAAAGTTGATTTGATGATTGAGCTTTCGTCTACAGATACAAGTACCAAAATACCGGTATGATAAGTCCAACGAACACGAATGTCTTATTAAGTAGTTAAATGTCACACACGCTTGATGAATCACTCGTTGTCACAACTTCAACAGTCAGTTGATATAATCTTTAAATTAGTTAAACATGTTCTCCTCGCTATGATTAGAAACGATAGGAAAACTAAACAGTCAGCATGTTGACTACTGGCCGATAAAAACGGTCGTTTATCAAATGATCGTCTATCCCGTGTTATGCAAACAAGTAGACAAAACCAAAGAATAATTATTTTTTTTGTTTTCATCTGAAGAAATAAAATGTTTGGAACAAACAGTATTCTTTCGTAGTCCTATGGCCATACTCCTGGGTACTCCTTGTGCTCTTAAAGTTAGGAGTACACTATTCTTCGATTGGAACAACAGCAAATGAATCGATTTTTACAAAATATTTTATTTTTCGTTCTTTTTTTAAAAGAATTCACAGTGAAAAGCCGAATAAATTGTAGCAAATGATGCTCTTCTTATTTTATCTGATATTAAGGTGAACGAAGAAGAATGAAGAATAGAATTTAATAATGGAATAAATAATATTTCGAGGATGATGAAACTCTTTCTTCAAAAAAAATGTGCAATAGTTTACCTTATATTGATGATAGGTATCAATAATCGTATTAAGACTTGTACAAACATTACGAAGTGATAGAAGAATGGTTAATCGATCCAGTTTGTCCAATATATGATATACTAAATCGACGGGCAATGTATGAAGAGATCGAGTAATGTTGTCAGCCATTTTTGCGTTGTATTCGTTCTAATGTCTTTTGATGAAATGTATGCTTGTTGAATGAGTATGTTATTTTTTAAGAGCACTTTTGTCGTAGTGTAAATAACTGTAAAATTGCAACGAACAATCGTATGAGAAGAGAAATAGTTTTACGTTTCTTCATCAATCATTGAAAAAGAAAGAGAAAAATACAAGATAAATCGTTTAGAGAGAACGAAACAAACAGGTAATAATATCCAAATATAGTTATTGAGAAAAATATCGACATCCACATAATCAAGGTGTGACAATATTTCAGACGTATTTTTATTGTATTTATTTTACTGCTATTTTCATCAGAAAAGTATTCTATCTTCTACATTTCATATTGCAATTATGATATGAAATAGATTGTCGAGTTTTTATAGATATTTCTTTAAAACTGAATTTGTTCAATGGAATAATCATAATGATAAAGGGTGTGAAGTGTATGTAACCTGCGTATCTATGATCCACGCTTCCAGCCTCATTTTCTTGTGTTCCATCTATAGCTTTGAAATAGGAAAGAAGATAAAAGTTTCGGTAATGAGGGTGTGGACATGGATTGTAGGTATGCAGGTTTCATGCACTTCATAAAATTGAAACTCTATGCCATCTTCATATGATATCACTACTTTTCCGAAAATCAGTGATCCGTCATTTGATTATTATTTGCGACCATTGAGTATTATTATGAAACTATGCAGTGACATATCCTCTTTCGACCGGTGAAAATCGCAACTCTTCATCTTGTTCCTATCAAAAGTTATTCGCAATCAAAGGCTGACGGGTTACGTTTGGATCACTCTGTAGTGTATTTGTGTAATTAGAATGATTATTAGATGTAGCTGTTTTTATAGCTGAGATGATAAACAGGTAGTTTAACGGTAGAACATCTAACTGGCTATTGAAAGATGTGGGTTCGATTTCCATCCTCCTTGCATGATTCTTTTTGATTATATAAATATAGTTCTATGAACAAGTAAAATTATAACAGATAATTCTTCTCCAACTCGTAAAACGCTTCCTCTTCCGATTAAAAATAACGAACACTCACCCTCAATCCAGCAAAAAATTGAATTATTTTGAAAAAAAAATATCAACATATTCTCAGCTCGGTATTTCTAACTTTCTGAAAATTGAAAGTAAAAAGTTTTACTGATAATAGCAAATTCTAATCAGCATTAGAGAAGATTTGATAACAATCGAATCAAAACGACAGATCCTATCTCCAGGTTTCGTTATAGAATATACCCTGAGAAATCGTTCTAAATATTCGAACAAGCTAGAACGTTAAGTAATTATTAGAAACCTGACAATTTAAAGTTTTTTCAGTAAAAATTTACGCTTTGCTTCTTAGTGCCTAATGTTTATTTTTAAAAAAAAAGCATCAACATTCAACATCATACAAATATAGGTGATACATCAGAAAAAGAAAACGTTTGATCATCGATAGAAACAGCTTGTTTAGTCCGTTGAACAACAGAATCGATGGCATCTGTAAACCATTGAACATCTTGTGATATCACTATGCCCTCAGTCAAAGTAATAAACAATCTTATAAAATTAGAAAAATATTTAACAGTTTCTTTATGATTGTATTTGTAACATAGATATCGCCATGCTAATTCAATATATCTATCTTGAATATCCAAGATTTGCTTGATATTGGATAAATTAACTGGATGAATATTTGAATAAACAGTATAGTTGACTGTTGAGACAGAAAGAATCGCAAGAAAGAGTTTCATAGCGATTATGTCAACATCAAGTCGAGATGCCAAACGCTGAGCAACAGATATTACACTTGGATGACTTATTATTCCAACAGCATCGTAATAAGCGGGATAATTCATCAATCCAATTTTAAATAAAATGAAATTCGAAGAAAGAGTTACCGTATGTGACAATGTACTATGCAGTAAAATAGAACGATCATCTGCTGATAAACAACGAAAATCTCGATTGTTTTTGTATAATAATTGAGCATCATTAAACATCATTTGATATAACTCGGATACTGATGCACATTTATAACGTAATTTATGAGGTAATTTATTTTGTTCATGCATGTAAGTTTGACCTATTGATAATCCACTATGTTCATCATAACAATGTGATAAATTTGAGATAAGATTCCATTGATCGACATCCAATGTTGATTGATCTGATCGTAACAGATTCAATGTTGGAAACTAAACAACGAAAAAACAAAAAACAATAGATTATTCAAACATATTTACTATAAACATATGTGATCCGATAATATTTCAGTATATTTCTTTCAGAAACTATGTTCAAAATTTGTAGAGTAAATTCATATTTAACTATTATCGATTTAAAAAAAAGAATGATCGTAGCCATTTTTCAAATAACTTTCGAATGGAAGCAGCTAGCGAGCTGTGCTTTTCACCATTGTGTGGGTAAATGAGTATTCTATAAATCCATCGATAAATATTCGAAGTTCTTGCAATTTCAAGATTTCCCCAGCATGAATCTTTCAAAGAGTTCTTCGGAGTTTATTTTAAGTTCCATAGATACCTATATATGTAAACTATGCAAAGCCTAGTGGTGATATCTCTTTTTGGTTTCAAACCAATCTGAAAGTACTATATCGAAATTTTGGAAACGTCGGCTATTTTTGGCAAATACCAAGAAAATTTGAAATTTGAAAAATCTTGATAGTCTTAAAAAAACTCTGAAGAACTCTTTGAAAGATTTTTGCTAGTGGAATCGCGAAACTGTAAGAACTTCGAGTATTTATCGATGGATTTATAGAATACTCATTTTGCTCACACAATTGTGAAAACCGCAGCTCGCTAGCTGCTTCCGTTTGGAAGTTATTCGAAAAATGATCACGACCATTCTTTTTTTAAACGGATAGTATTAATGATGTCTCTTGAAATTTTAAATAAAAAAACTATCATTCGTTAATAATTAATTAGATTTATTTTGCTAGAAATAAAGATGAAAATATTTTCTATCTGTAGTTGTCATAGAAAAAAATTTCATTCCTAAAAATATCAAATATAGAATTTTGTGGAAAGGATAACTTCAAGTCATTTTTATTCGTTTTCGTACCCTCAATATCTCTGAGAAGAAAACATCCCAGAATTTTGACTGTATAACAACTTTTCTTCTTTCATCAAGATCTATCTGATTTGAAAGTTTGAGAGGTATTCATCAAGCCGTTCTTGGAAAACCGATACCTTTAAATATTAAATTTGAAAATAACTCTCATTGTTTTGTTTCCTAGATGCTTGAAATGAGTTTAGATAAAAATAATGAATCAATTTTCAACGGTTTCCTCATACTAACAGGGATCATATACTTAACTATGATAATCAAATAGTCTCACTTGTTCAAGTTGATTTAATCTAACTAACGCTGTTGATGTTGTTTCTACTGGATTTGTTATCATTTTTTCTTTTTCACTTTTTTTCTTTCTTTTTGGCAAAGAAGATCGAAGCATTTCAGTTTGCATTCCATTTGTAAAACATTTCATAAGTCGACAATAAGAACAATGATAACGATTATTTGAATTTATTTCACAATGACCATCAGAATTGCATTTTAATACTTTCTGAAAAAATGAATATAATTGAAAGAAAATACATATTATTGATTCACTTGTCCTCGTTCAGCATTTCGTTTGAAAAATATTTTGCATGGAGAACATGCTATAACACCGTAATACGAATATTGAGCCGGAGCTTCACAAATTTTACATTCACGTAGTACTATTGTTGATTGTCGCTTTCTATTCATAGAATTATTTGAAGATGATTTTTCCACTATGAAGACACGTTTTTTATTTGATTAAATCTAAAAAATAAATAAACAACATTAGAATTATGGTTTTTAACAGAAATTATTTAGAGAAGAACCACGAGAAATCATCAATATATTGTAAACAGCACAACTATTTTTTCTTTATTATATTTTATTAAATATGTATCTGTCTATCCTTGATGAAAATCATGTTTCTAATAGTAGTCTATAGTTACTTTATAACTATGAGAAATAACTATTAGCATGAATAAGACACAAGTTGGACGAGTATAGAAAAGAAAAAGCAAAAACAGCAGACTTTTTCTCTTTCTTTCTTCGAAGAAAAATATAGATGTATCGAGAAATATACACGTTATAATGGTTAGAGTCGACAAAACATTTTCGTTCTGCACAAAAGCAAAAAAAAAAAAATAACAAAACAACGTGCATAACCCTTTATTCCTTTTGATAAAACATTTTTTTATTCAATATTATTTATTACTTCAAATAAGTTAAGTTCAATTTAACATGAAATTTCTATTACATGTTGATATCTAATAGTGAATAAAAATCATCGATATCGATCAATAATCAAAAATATTTTGACATGAATATTGAATATGTAGAGCTTTCGCTGAATATTTTTTATTTCAGTGTTATTTAACACTCCTGACGTTAGTCTTATTTGATGATTACTTATTTATTTTTATCGTAAAGAAAAACAATAATACAAAACTATTTAAGATAATAAATAGTTTGTTCGATTTGTTGAAGAATAGAATCGATTTTATCTGTGTATTTTTGAATATTGTGTAGTTTAACTATTCTATCATTTAGAACTAAAAAACATTTTATAAGATTAGAAAAGTAAATAATAATTTGATCATGATTACATTTGTAGAATAAATCTCGACACATTATTGTAAGTAACTATTTGAAGAAAAGGAGGATGCAATTTTTCGACGTAAAAAGTCATTCTAACAGTTCAGATCCGTTCGCATACCTTAAGACAACGAACGAAACGTGGTACTCCATAATCTTATAGATAAAATAGAAGAATGTGCACATCGAGAAATGAGGTATTTTATTAAAACGGATTTGTTAAAAAAAAAACGAAATTGTTTGAAGTTTATAAATTTTTCCTCGACCATTGATTTATTCACCAATCATACAAAGTCTTTTATCAGATGAACAATCAGCATCTTTTTCTTTATTTCTATCAAAATTTGCTGGTTCACTATAGAAAAAAAAATCAATGAAAGATTTTAAAAATATGTTTTCTTACTTTATTTGATATCAATCCACAAACCAACAAATTTAAATTATTTATGATTATTTAATATTTGATTTTTCCAGCAATCTTTAGATGGAAGATAGAAATAATTAGGATATACTCTTTTACCTACAATCAATAAAATAATAATTAGATTTATCCTTTCCTTTAAACATTTTCTAGTCAAATAAATTCTCAACTCCTTATTTCTACAGAGATTCTTATAATAAACTAGCCAATAGGTCAATCATATCCAACCATATTCCTATTTTTAGTTTCATTAAATTGAACATTTTTATTAGCCGATCATTTAATCCAAATATCATCTTTTTGTCTATCAGTAAAAACACCAATTTCGTTCTTCGGAATCAATAGTTGGATAAGAATTGTTATAAATTTCATTTCTTGTGTATGCAACCAATCAACATATTCTGATAAACGTTTAAAACGAATTGAATTCCAAGTAAAATCCATTTGATTTCGAAAATAATCAATATCATCATACCTTAAATCATATAATTTAAAATAAAATAAAGGACCCCGCGCGTTATGAATTAAGTGCAGCTCCAGCATTTATTGAAAACGCAGAAGTAATGTCCAAAAGGACGAATGCAAATATAAATGGTTTGACTACTCCCGATATCATATGACCAGAGTCCTACGTAGAATGATCAGTTAATAAATAATCAATTTAAATTTGTTACGTTACATATGTGACTGCCATAACAAAGATCATCAGAAAACAGGTACTAACAACCTGATCGATAAATGTATTCCAATAAGGAATATCTTTGCCAGGCATTGTGAAGAATATATCAGCTGTATCATTGGGATCTGTCATTTGTCTTCTACCATCATCAAATACATTGAATTGATTCCAATAGACAAGATGGACTAAAGCAGCTCCTTAGAAAGCTGAGTTTGCCAATAGTCATTAACGATAGAGTGTCATATCTGATCCTTTTTTTACACTACTAATTGGTCCACCAACTACCATTGCTACAAAGAAACGAAACAAATTTCACACTACATTTTAACGTTTTATTATAATAAACTTTTTAAAAAACTCTCAACGTAATAACTTCATAGAATGACTCATCAGTTAGTTAGTTTATCAACTGACTATTAATAAGTTCAGTTACTGAAAGTTGGAACTACTTCTTAAACAGTGTTACATATCTCGAATTTTGGACACGCATCATACATCTCGCGGGTGACTTGCTTGTTTCTAGCGGTAGATGGTATATCTCTAAAATTCAGGATATGTGACACTACTTGTATGATAAGAAATTACAGATTTTTATCTGTTTTTTTTTCTTGTTACTGTAATCCGATCATGATATTTCATCTTTCATTTTTCAGACGAACGAAGCGAAACACCAATTGTGTCAATAGATATTCTCAATAGACATTAGATCATACTGTTTATAGATTTTGAATAAACAAGAAATTTGAAATATTCTCTCACATAATGATCATATTAGATGAGACTTTGATTTGTCTCCTTATTTCTGTAAATCGTTATCTGCATATACACCGACGTCAAATGCAATTGCGATTAGAAGTATAGAATGAGAAATTTGTCGAGCAAATTTATAATTAGCAAGATCAGCTTCACCAATAAGTATTAAAATACATGTGAAATAACATTCTACTAGTAATTGAATTGAATATTGTTTGGAACTATTTTATGTTGATCATGTTTCGTTTGTTCTATTAGAAATAATGATAGCAAAGAATAATCAGAATTCAATCACAAAATGATAATAATTACGGAACAAGATGGTCACATCTTATTGTATAAGAATACAATACGTTCGCTTATATTCCATATGACAGATTATCTATAAGAGTCAAAAAAAACAGTTTTACATCCAACCATCGAATATTTTCGAGAATAAGATATTTTTATTTTGCGTCCATATTGTTCGTTCGTGCTCGATTGTAGAGACATGTTACATGTTTGACTAACGATATTATGTTATCACAACTAAATATCTCGATAAACGATGATAAGCAGAGTCTTATTTATTTCCCTAATTGTTCTTTCAATGTTTTTATCGTATAAACAAAAGAAAAATAATCTATGTGAAATGTTCACAATTTGACGATCCTTTGAAAAATCTCGTTCACTCCCGTTTAGTCTTTCAGAAATAACACTCGATAATTATCTTAATCAGGCATTTCTTTTTCTTTTCTTCTGGTCTTCCTAATCCTTTGTTAAGTCTATAATTATACTTGTTAAAAAGAGATTCTATGAATATTATTTCAACTAATAATCATTTATATATTGCAATCAATCTAAGAAGTTCTATGAAAATAAGTGTTACCTATTTTACAGAATAGAAGAAGTTTTTTTTCCCTCAAAGACATTTTCATCGAACGACATTTTTTCAGATATATTTATCATTGTTACTATTGAAATATTATCAATAGATTCAAAAGCCACGTTTCTTTCATAGATATATCAATCCAGCTTGACTTCTCTGAATGATTGTAGCTTCTATTGAAAAGAGAAACATACTAATTAAAGTCAAAAATCGATTTTAATTCTCATTTAACTAATTTGTCTTTTGTCATTATAATCACAGAATGGAAACATATTTTATATAAATATGTAATTTTTTCATCTTCAATAGTTTGAATCATTAAAACTCTATGAACATAATCAATAGAAGCAATTGACAATAATCGAACTATTTTCAAACAAAGAGAATAATAATAATAATAATAATAATGAGTTTGAATGAGTACAAATATGAGAAATATTCTTCAATAAAGTATAACTTTTTGGCATGACATAGTGCAGTTAATATTAACTATTTTACATGAAATACATATGAAAGTTCGAAATATGAATATTTGTTAAACAAGAATTTTTTATTTCGTACAAGTTGAAGTATTTACTTAAATCAATGAAAATTCGTGCATTTTCAAAGATAATATGAAGAGAAACACTTTGTATCATTGCTAAATTGTTTTTTTATTTTGTAAGAACTTCGAAAATTTGTAGAAAATTCTTCTATTCATAAATTTTGATGTAAAAATGCACGAATTTTTATTTATTCAGATAAATATTTCGATTTGTTCGAAATTAAAAATTTTTGCTTTTCCAAAACAAAATGGAAACTATTCATTGATTCAATGAAATATCGACAAAAATTTCTTGCATGCTCTCTTCTGAGATATTTATTGTTTTTTAAATGATCATAAAAATATAACCTAAATAGATTTAATAAATTAGATTACAAATTGTGTATATATAAGACAGTTATTCTTTCTCTTAGACATGACTTTTTCTTCCAATTACTTTTTATTCTCCATATTAGAGAGATGATCAATTCTGTGAGAATTAATTTTTCTCGTCTTGAATATAAAAATACCTAGGGTATGGATGGATGTGGATATAGGTTGTATGTTTTCTTCATCTGCATCTCACACCACACCCTCAAGATAAGCTATAATATCACCTGCAGTGCCTATGGTAGTTTAGTAACTCAAAGCATTGAACGGTGTGATGAAGTGAATGAATACTGGGCAAAACGTGATATACGCAAAAGAGGTTTGCATGATAGATTTTGATCAACGCATAAAAGAAAATAATAATTCAGCCGATTCAATAAACTGATGAGAGAAAAGATGATGTTTTTTTGTGTTATTCTTTATGCAGACATTTCTTCGCTTTTTCTTGTATTTTTTTCTCTCTGTTTACCTTTGTGTCTCTCAATATAAACAATGAATATGAATTTGACAAAGAAAATTAATCAGATTTTTCAAGTAGATAAATCCATACAATTTTTTCATAAGAAAATAGAGAGAAAAGTAAAGTCAGAAAAGGATATTCATTTTCACTATTCGAACATGTCAGTATGGGTGAGTAGCGAAAACGAACCAAAATAATAATAATCCAATGTTACACTCCATCTAGGACCAATCAACTCTTTCTCAAACAATTTCACATCCATTATCCTATCTCTATCCATCGAAATCAGTATATCTAGCTTCGAGAAACCGAGTTTCACCTCAGAATGATTCTTCGAAAGAGATTTTATTCGATAAAAATAATTTCAATTCGTTCGAGACAATCCCTCAAGTGACACGATCGGATGCCTGGTCCACAACGAATATCACTCAGGCCGCTACTCACAACACTCCATCCGAATCATGTACAACGAAGTTAAGCACATGTTTGAAGTAAGTCGCATTCGTATTAGAACATTTGTAGAGCAATACAATTTGTACTTTGTATGGAAAGCCAGTTAACACTAATCACCATGAAGCCTTAGTAGTCGATGCATGACAAATGAGATTTCTTCTCATGATTATGGATTAAAATTCATAAATAAACAGAATTCTTTGTTTACTGTAGATCCCGTAATTTTCGCTTCACATTATTGGGGATGTTCTTAGGTGTAGTACTCAGTTTAGGTGCTATTATACCGATTGTTATTGTTTGGCAAATATCTGGTAATATATAATTGTGTTGATCAGTAGTATTCTTTGACGTTTATTTTTCTAGCATCCAAAACGACAACAACCGCTGTTCCTTCGGTAGAAATAAATCAACTTCAACTCTACATATTTTTCTTGTCTATTTCTCTAATGATTTTAGTCAAATACGGTGGGAAGTTCAGTGAGTGGTTCATTAAGATCAACTACTGGTTTGTCAGGATGTAATCTATACTACTGTGAACAAAATGTTAACTTCATCACCAATATGACTGTCACAGCCTTCTCTGCAGCGATAACAATTCAACGAGGAACATATAATCTGACGTACCACAATGCTTATACTAATTTCCCTTTCACACCCAATATCACACAAGAAACGACTTCAACGCAAATAATTTATCGCTTTTTCTTCCAAACCGGTCAAATGACTGCTGGAAATTATATCATTGCTGCTCAGTTCCTTATTCCTGGTGTCAATCGAACCACCAGTTCGGATACATACTCAATCACAACAACGAATATATGTGGCCAGGTGAATTCAGTTTCCGGAACTTTTTGAACTGAATACCAATTATCAAATTGAACAACTTGACGTTCTGCACTCATTCTGCAGTTTATCTTGAGATCTTCAGTAAAAAATGAAAAACAATCATATTTAGGTTTTATTTTTCAGTTCTGCTTGTTCACAATGAATGGAAGGACAAAGGAAAACTGTACCGATACTGATTATATCGTTAGACAAACACAGGGATAAGAGGATTAAATGCAAGTAGCACTGGATTACACAAATGAATTACAAAATAATCCAAAAAAATGAATTCTAAAATAATTATGTTTTTATCAGTTTCTACCTGGTAGACACATGTAAAACCGCACAGAGCATCTCTCTGAGTGAAAGTGAGGGTGGAAGCACAGACACACGCGTTCTCTTTCCCGGAGGTGAGGGTGAGGGTGGAAATACACACACAGCGTATATCTCTGACTAAGGGTAGAGGAGAAAAGACGGACACATGTGAAAGACACAGTAATACTTGGTAGTATTAATCCCACAGTATGCCATTGTATCCAATAGAAATCCGATAGCTATCCCACAGGGATCCCATAGTTATCCCGTAGGAATCTCATGGTATTCCATGGGAATCCCATAGCGTGAGTGTGGGTGTGGGCGTAAGTGGGTGTACGGTGTGGGTGTGTGTTAGCGTCAGTAGATAGCGTTAACTGCTGCTAAGCTGTTTCTTATATATATTGTTCTATTGATTTTGTTTTGTTCTACTACGTCATTTGTCGGATAACCGACTCACATGATTGATTTTCCTATATACGTATATATTGTTTTCAGTTGTTTAAAAAAGTTTCTCAACATCGTCATTCTTCCTATTGTTGTTTTTCTCCGAGAATATACTTCGTTATTACATCATCAACATCTCTTTTCACATATGCATCAATAGCTACATAACGATCAATGTGTGTAAGTTAACGATTTATATATATGTTATAGTGATAAGCTCTATCATATAGTCCCCATACGAATTGTAGAGCTAACAGTGTGAGTGTTCTTTTCAGTAGCATCAACACTCATATCCATACCCTCACGCCCACCCGCACCCACCCACCCACACCCCACACCCATACCCCAGAAATACAGAATTTTGAATGTGGAAAATATCACACGAACATTTTTGAGATGCTTTGTTTGCGGATTTTTTCCCTTTGTCAGGTTAACTTTGAAAAACATATCTTGTACAAAAGCTCTGCTTTCGACATTATTCCTTCTAATAAAAACTACTCGATGTAGTAATCGACAATGTAGCATAAAAAAGTTCGACATGTCGAATTTCAGCCTTTGTTTGACTGAGTGCTCTAATTTGAAAACATGGGGTAGAGACGATAAGATGTACAATTTCTCTGCCTAATTGAAGAGTTTTTGTTAAGAGCGAATCAATGAACTATGCAGCCAAAATCATAGTGAATCCCAAACGAAGTCCTGAGACTATGACAAACTATCATACCAACATGAGCCAAATCATTGATTCCAAAATTTCACATTCCTTTCATGTCTATTACGTGAATAATTGCTTAAGTAGTTCTTTAAATACATGAGGAATCATGAAGACAGCATTTTTAGGATTCTTCCAGATCCTAAAATTTCAGATCAGTTATTTCACTATTCCAAACCTACTGTTATAAATCCCGGAATCCGTTTGTTCAAACAGCATGTAAGTTATAAATTTTGATAAACATGAGTTCAGTTTATTATTAGTATTTTCTCGGCTAGGATGATAATGTATAGTCTCTATATATATGAGCAAGTTGGATAAATCCTGGTTATGAATTAAGAATTTTTCCAAGCAAATAGATGTTCTAGAATTCTCTATCTGAACATATATCATCGTAAAATTTCCGTCTTTTTTATACAAATGAAAAGAAAGAGTGAAAGACAATACTAGAGAAAGAATATGAGAGAAAAAAAAATTGAAGTTTCGCTTCTTTTTTTCGTTCTTAATGAAGAATATATGTAATACAGAAAAAGACAGACTCAAGTAACTATTTAGTTCGATGTGGTAAAAGACCTGCAATGCGACGATACAAAAGGGTTAGCAAAAGTCAACTCGATCATTATTGAAATTTTCTTGAAAGAACCAGCAAAATAGTTTGCAATATGCAATACAAATTGTAATACGTTATAAAAGTCATCATGATGAGGCTGCTACGGCTGTTATCTTTTGCGTATTTAAAATGTATGTGAAAGTTTTTTTCTTGTTATCATATCTTAGTGTAGAGTCACTTCTTGACATGCATTTATTTCGTTTTCTTATCGTTATTTTATGCTTTGTTCAAGCAAAACCAAATGAGTTTACCTCACTGGAACTTTGGAATTTGTTCAAGCATGTTCACAAAAAGCAGTATATCAATATTGAAGAAGAAAATTATCGGTAAGAAAGTAAATTAGAATGAATAATATTTATGTTATTTAATCCTCCTAATCATTCTAGTCGAACTATTTTTGACGATAGAGTCGTCATGATCAATCGACACAATCTTGAAGCTGATCTAGGTCTGCATACTTATACACTCAAAATTAATCAATTTGCTGACATGGTATAGCTGTGAATTGTTTAGTTTCTGACACGAGAATTGATTAAGATTCTTAGTGCCATAAATATCGAAAACGTTCAATTTCGATCTTATTTTTATAAATTTCTAGGAGAAATGGTTTTTCTAAAATACGTATACTGTTTTTCATATTTAGAAACATGACGAGATTGTACAAACTATGTCGAATAAATTTAAAATGGGTTTATCTACAAAGATATCAACTAAATTTGATCGATCCATATTTCTTCCACCATCAAATATATCGATACCAGCTGCTGTTGGTCAGTATCTTTTAATTGAACTCTTCTTGATAAAACGTACTTATAGATTGGCGTAAGAGAGGTGCTGTAACTTCAATAATTGAGCAACAAGGTCAATGTGCTTCAGATTGGGCTTATACAGCAACGGGTGCATTGGAAGGGCAACATTTTCTTAAGACGGGCAAATTGGTACGACTTTCAGCTCAGAATCTTTTGGATTGTTCGGGTAAATTTGGTAATCAAGGCTGTAATGGGGGACTAGTGGATGCTGCATTTCAATACATCAAAGTCAACAAAGGTGTGGATACAGAAGCAAGTTATCCATACGAAGCAATGGAAGGCAAGTGTCGCTTCAATCGATCGACTGTGGGTGCAACTGATACAGTAATAAATATTACACAAATGTCATTTTCTTTTGTATTCCTTTTTTTTATTCATATCCTATAGGGTTTTGTTGATATTGCAAAAGGAAATGAAACAGCCTTACAAATAGCTATTGCTACTGTGGGTCCAATTGGAGTAGCGATTGATGATTTACATGATTCTTTCTTTTTTTATTCATCAGGTGTTTATGACGAGCCGGCATGTTCAACGAAAGAATGGTCTCACACAATGATTATTGTCGGATATGATACATTTAATAATGCTACGACGAAACAAGATTATTATATCGTAAAAAATTCTTGGAGTGAGACATGGGGTATGAATGGTTATATTTGGATGAGTCGCAACAAGAATAATCAATGTGGAATTGCGAGCTGGGCCAGTTATCCACTTGTTTAGAAATGGATATTTCGGTGTCTTTTTTTCTATTCTATATCTTCTTTTTTTTTATAACGGCATCAACAACATAAAGAAAATCGAATATAAAACCATGATTGATCATAGAAATCGTTACAATCATCGAGGATGAGATTGTATTTTGTCTTATGTTTCAATTGACATTCCTGCTATGCGCATTTTATACTGAAGGAACGAATAAGAATATGATTTCGAAATCTGTAAATGCAGTAGTAAATAGTTTTCAGTTTTTTATTAATACATAATCAATAAAAATGAAGGATAGAAAGAACAAAGAAATGATAGTAAATAATATTTTGTATTTTTGGGGCAGACAAAAATGTTTCTTATAGAGTCAATAAACAAAACTATTCTCTCTTAATCTGTATTTTCGATTTTTCCTTGAAAACAATCTCTTTGGAAACTAGAAATATCTTGCCAAAGATGCGACTTTGGGCTATTCTTCCGAGAAATTCTTGTATTGAATACGCATATAAACATTTATAAACGCTTGACGATTTAACCAAAAAATAATGTTACATTTTGGAGTGTAAAACAAAAGGCATTACAAAGGTAATATACTTTTTTTTATTTAAAGCGTTCAGTTTTTTCTTAATTTTTACATGGTTAGAGTCGATTCGTGACCTCTATGCTTGATTCAAAAAACGAAGATTACTTACTATAAGATATTTATGCTTTTAAATATAAAAATTATAAATATATAACTAGACAAATATTTCAAATCAGCATCACAAAAACTTTGACTTAGTTGGTCTTTGATTGTGTATCTACTGGCAGACATGACATTTATTCAATTTTAATTCAGTTTTTTCAACGATAGCATATATAATAGAGGGATGTCCAAGCGAAAAATATTCATGTAAAAAAAAATGAAAGCAAATGTATTCACAAAAACGTAGAAAGTTACCATCTTTCTTATAAAAAGCATATTCTATAGTTTGGCGAATGTGTTTATGAGTCGAAGAATAAGTCATTCTAAATAGAAAAATTTCTGCATCGTTTTTTTTGGAATGATCAGAATAGAATACTATTAATATGAGAAGGCTTTCTTAGACGTTGTCTAAAAATAATAGATATCTGAAACATTTCTTTGAAATAATCATTAGAGTCATTTGTTTCTTTATTCGAAAGAATTTCATCACAATTATTTGTCTCATTCACACCATTCTTCAAGATGTTCTCGCTCAGTAAATATTCCTTTCATTCAAATCCAGATGAGCAATAAATAACAAGCTTTCGCTGGAAAAAAATGATTTCTTTCTTTCGAATCTTTTCTCATCTCAGTTTGTTGTTCTTCTTTGTTAATGATAAGTATAAAATATTGTTTGAAAGAAACTATCGAGAAAACAAATGAAAATAAATTTGTGCAAAAGATATTGACAATCATCTTGAATTTCTTCTTTTTTATTGGGTGTGGATGTGGAAGAGGGTGTGCAGGATGTCAGTGTCGGTATGAATGTAGGTGTGTGTTAACGTTGAGATCAACGGACCCCAACGTCTCAGAGTTTTCGTTAGCTTTGGCGGAATGACTAACGTCGGCGCAGTCAATTTCTGATATTTCACTATATTTTTCTGAGATTTATGCTCATGCTCGTTTCACAAATATTTGCAATTGTTCCTCATCAACGGCCACTAGCCACAACGATTTTCATCATAGTTTTCTTCGTTATTCACTATTCGTACTTGTCATCGTCAAAAGATAACGCTTATCGGATGTTGTGTGCATATCCTATCGTCGTTCTCGCATTTCTTTATCGAGAAATTAATCAGTTGCACATATTGACATCATTTACAGCATCGTCTATCCGCTGCACATATAAGAATCTTATCCACAATCTTAATCGATTCTTTCAAAAAAAGCGACTACGAGATTCTTTTTATTATTCTATCATTACTGCTGTCTTATTCCACTTTCTTTCTTCCCTCGATTTTTTTTCAGTTTCTCTCTTTTTTCATATGTGTAGACACACATTTTTGTTGGTGAGCAACTCTGTTACAGACATGTAACTCGATGCCTCCACATCTCTTTTCATTATCCGTGTTGTTTGCTTCTATGCAGATTCTTTCTTTTTCTCTTCATTTTTGTATTCGTTTTTTGTGACCGACTTACATTGGTTTCGCACCCATTCAAGTTAAAGAGGCAGCCTAGAGTCGTAATCTTAGCTCTGTCACTATATTCAATAAGAACAGGCCGTCAACATGAACGACTGATTACTAACATATGATAACAAAAAGATGATCGTGCGTTACATCGTTGAGGATGTGAGTAAGGATGCGTGCCAGTGAAGATGAAGGACAGAGAAGAGTAACGTACACTAGCACTCTCACTCACTTTCATCCTCACTCATCTTTACTCACAATTTTAATGACGGATTATTTTCAGAAATTTCCATTTTTAAAGGCCCGCACATACTTCAGGTTTTTTCTTTCGGCGTCATTCTTTTTTAATATTGCATGATTGTTGGTTTTTTTTTCTTTCCTCGGTTATTACTCAATCGATTAACGTCAGTATTTATTCTTTGCGATTGGCATCACATAAACAACTACTTCTTTCATAATCATAGCTGTTTGTTTGAAATTAGACGCAAAAAATGATGGGAACACGAGGGCCACTTGTCGTTCTTGTATCTGGTGGTGGACCGGTCAGTCTCACCTTTTCACTAAATCTTGCCATGATGATGGGTGAACGTGTTAAAATAATTATTTATGAAGCTCGATGGTTTGTTGATGAACGTGGCAATGTTCGTTGGCAAGATAAACAACAAAAGAAAACTCGCCGTAATCAAGTTGTTATATTGCAAGATCATGTCATTCAACAGTTTCCTGAAAATATTCAAAAAGGTCTGTTTAAAACTATCGACGAACGTGTATGGCCAACATCGAGAAATATTTCAATTCGAGAGGTCGAAGATCGACTTTTTGAGTTGCTTGAACCATTTACTGCTAGTGGTCAAGTGGAATTAATTTGTGAACAACTGGATGAACAATCAAAACATTTGGTCGAAGGTAGATTAATATATTTATTTTTTCATTACTCAACACATAAATTGGATTTATAATTTGCACAGGTAATTTTGACGTGTTGGTGGGTGCCGATGGATCGAATTCATTTGTTCGACGTTATTGTAATATACAGATGATAAGTGAAGGTATCGAATATGCGTGCGGTGTAGGATACGATGTACCTGAAGATATATCACCATCTGATCAAACTCTTCATCAAGCACTCAATTGCATACTGAGTGCTTCGCAAACTCGTTATATGGTGAGTTCATCGTTAAGTTGTCAAGGATATCTTTATATTCGTTTGGGTAAAAATGAATACGAAGCATTACGTCAATGCTTACAAAAAGTTCAGAATCGTGATGAACCGTTGGATTTACCAAATCGTACAAAATGGCCACAATCGCCGATATTGTCCATTATTCGAGAAGGACTGAAATTTTTCAATATTAATGAAAAATTTATTTCTCGCATTGCACCAATCGAAATTAATGTTCGGCATGCATCTGTTGTTATTCGAGAACTCCGTTCTGAAATTAATCTAAAAGAACCTAAAAAAATACTGGCATTTCTTGTGGGTGATGCTGCAATGAATGTGCATTTCTGGCCAGGTCGAGGTATGAATAGTGGTATGAAAGCAGCCATGGCACTTGCTCGCAATATTCAACGTTCATACATAGCCAACATTTTACCTCACCGCCAAGAGAACCATTCTTCGCTTCCATTTCTCGATTTTCTTGACTATGAAAGCTTTATGGCTCGCCTTCGTGCACGCGAACAACAAGGCCGTTCCTTACGTGTACTCGCCAGTCCAATCGATCTGACTCTGAAGGGAGTTCCAATCAATCCTTATCCAAATTATTCGTATGAAGAACATAGAGAGCAGCTGAAAAAAAAACTAATAGATACACGAGAAGAGTTTCAAGGACTACCAGATTGGCCTCATAAAACAAGGTCGGTAACTGATACAGAGTTAGAAGACGTATTCAATCGAATTGACTGGCATACTGTTACTAAACTCGCATTAGCTAATGCATGGCCGACACGAGAAATGAATGGTGTTGAAGTTCTCGTTGAAGATATGTTTCCAATCAATCAGCAATCATGTTTATCATTACCAAAGTCAGCTCATAAAAAACCTTTAACCTGTCAACCAACGATTGCTTCACGACGTCGTTTTCGCATTTTATGGATCGACGGCGATACGATAAATGAAAGTACACAAGAATTAATCGCCACAATTCGGGCTTCTCCTGAATTTGTTGATCTATCATCCATGCTAGCACAAGGATCAGTTCAATCTTACAGCTCATCTGTTAATATTCTCAACAAGCTAGATGTGTTTCCTACTACCATATCAGCTCTAAATTGGATTAGAGAGAATCGTAAAACTATAGATGAACCAGATATTCGCGTGAAAGTTATCATTAGATGGCCTCTGCACGAAAATAAAGAGCTAGTTGATGTGATTCGAAACATTCGTACTCAAGTATCGCGTGTTCCTATACTTGTTTATACTAATGAATATGAAGACACACAGATGGCATTTGAATTTCCAAGTGTTATTATTACAAATACGACCAGCGATCTCTATGAGTTTGTCGGTATCAATCAAGAAACACAGTGGGATGACGATTGCTCTATGTCACAAGAAGAACAAACTCCAGGTATGTATTCCATCCACATTATCTTGAAAAAACATAGATCGACCGAATTTTTATAAGCGACGGTTGCACAAATGATTAAATCGAATACCGAATCCAACTCGAGTTCTTCTAGTTAAATCTGAGCTTAACTCCATCCGAAATAGTGTCTCTAGCACTCTATCTAATCTGTGGCACCTGAAACCGAAAAATCTTATCGTTTACTTATGTTAGATTAGCTGTTTTCCTTGAATATGGTTATTCAATAAAAAGTTGAGATTTTTATAAAAATTTTGAACACATATCAAATCGTGTCAAAAGGATCTCGTTAGGTCTAAAACGATTTGAGAATTTGCTATTCTTGCATGTAACATTAGCAAGCCTTTCAAAACTTAGGCAGATTATTGAATCAGTATAGTACTATACCATTGTAAGATATTAGTTATTATGGTTTCCACTTTACTAAGAAAGAAAATAACAACATCGATATCGTTTTGTCATTTTACAAAACTTCTGAAGAATATTAACCGCTGACACACGATTTAACAGTGATAGTATGAAGGTTGATCTCTATACCTTATTAACAAAGTTACTCTAAAACGAAAATAGGAAGTAAACCTCACATATTATTGGTCTACATTTTCTAAAAATTTTAATGAAAATAGAGGATAATATCTCAGGAGATATTACTTGAAATTTACAGTTATTTTGAAGTTTGGTGATACAATAATCTATCTGGGCTCCATTGGATTTGTACATATTATAGGGAAGAACGAAAAATTAAGAAATCGATTGCAAATCATTGAAACCACCGTTATGGTATATATAGATAGTGTGTGAGTGTGAGTATCGATGGAGGTGTGAAACATTGGTGTGGATGTTGGTGTTACTATGGGCTATGGGTAAACTCAAGACTAACACCCACGCTACCCATGGAAGTGTCCAATTATGTCTCTGAAATTTGAAACTTTCCGTAATTCTATAGCCCATTCTCAATTTTTGAATGGTCAGTTATATACCTAAATTTCATTTTTCACGAGCTTTCATTCGGTATAAAATTCATTACTCAAACTGTTTGAATTCATAGTGGTATTCCTCCCGGAATAATATTATTTCCAACCGTGTACAACTGTAATCTTTCGTTATATCACTCTATTGACCTTTTCTTTGCCTACAATTCGAATACAAATATCTAATTATTGCATTCTCTCATTTGTTTTAGAACTCTCTTCTACAAGTCCAATTTTGGAAAAACTTTGTCCTACTTCTTTCAATACGGTATCGAAGCAATTCCTTCTCTGGGTTGATTCGGAAGAAAATGATCCAACAGCAATTGAAAACATTCACCGAAATCATCCTTTATTGGAGATCCATTTTAGTCCAACGTTAGCTGAAGCATCCACTTTTCTCAACACAAACTTACATAAGCTCAAACAACAAGAAAAAATGTTAGTTATTTGCAGAAGTTACTATGTTGGTGAACAGAAAAATCTCATCGATGTGAAAAATCTGATAGACAATGTCTTTAACTCAACAGAAATTCCTCTGTGTGTTTATACGAGAAATCGAGAAAAACTACTACAGAGAATGTCTAATATCCCACCACAAGTTGAAGTTACCAATTTAAGAAGCGAGTTACTTAATTTTATACGACGTCATTTAAGCAATTAATAATTTGACGGTTAATATATTTTTTTTTACTCTGCAACAGTAATATAAGCAAGAGATTATCTAATTCATATAGCAGTTCTATGTTCCAATATCCATTTTGCTTTTATTTTCCTAATAAATCACATTATATCGTATTTATGTACCGGTTGAATGTTTTTTATCGATCACTCATGTTAGATGCAATAAATATATTTAAATTGACTAAAATTTCGTAGGCACTCATAAATATAGAGTAAGTAAATACTAATGTCAATTGTGAATTTGTTAAAAGGTTTCAATTCAAAACATAACATTAAGAATTTACTATTACAACTATCAACGGCAAACTGAAACGTCATCATCTTGAATAGTAATTTTCGATGAGAAAAAAAAGAAAAAGTATTCAAGTATACATGATCTAGATCATAACTGTCAGTGCTGAAAATTGGTATTTTATTATCCAGACTTATAGCGTCGGGGTGCGGGTGTAGGTCTTTAAGCTCAGGATCATCTCTCAAACCATACCCACACCCACACCCCATACTTATTTACTTACCAAGAATTTAAGCTTATCTGGAAGCATGCTACTTAACTGTATTTTTTTAACAAGCACAAAAGTCGACAGCATTGAAAAGTCGTTTTCATGTCAACACAGTTAGGAGATCATTCGAACTTACTTAATTTTCCCAGTAACTCAAAATGTATTAACGACATTATTTTCATATGAGTTAAGATTTTCGCTAGGTAAGTATATGTCGATGTGCAACAGTTGACTTATCATATGAAAAAAATGCTTATCTTACCATTCTAAATCATCATAAAAGACAAAACAAAAATATGCCAATAAATACTTAAACTGTTATCATGCTTTATTTAAATGATGACTAAGATACAAATGAATGTGAATGTATTTATGAAGAGAAAGTTCTTACTTTCTCACTCTACACAGTGTCTCTTGGTCTTACACATAAACATTTCATGAATATTATCTATATTATAAACAAATAAATGTCTATTAATTATTTACAAGTGATGTAAAATAATATTTATTAGAATTTTATCACTATGAACGATAATATCAAAGGATTGATCATCTCGAGAATTTGATTTCGATAATTATTCAAAAACTTAGATGATTAAGTATTATTTAAAATTCGATTGATACTTTGAAAATTGAATTTATTATGTAACTTTTTAAAAATGCTCGCTGATTTTCTACGAATCACTCTAAAGAAGGACACAAAGAATCACATAGAAGAAGTAAAATAAATGAGGGTGTGGTTTTTATCTGGACTATAGTCACATCTGCACTCGATATTTAAATAAAGGATCTTAATTTTTACAAGAATTAATTTCACATCAATCTCTTACGACAAGTCTTTTAAATATTTGTCCAGGTAAATGTACTTTTTAATGTATATCATATCCTGTACATAGAGAAACATGTTTATTTGAGTCCTTGTATGTTTTTTCGTAATTGCGCAAGTCGTGAGAAATATATGTTTTGCGAAGAACAAAAAAATGTGCGTTTTGTTTTTATGTAATTACGTAAGACTTGGAGTTACTCAATTCATTTGCAAGTCTTTACGAATCAATATTTATATAATAGGCATCCTAGTGCAAAAGCATTTGGCTAATAAATTTCACGGTTTTAATTATCTTCATTTTTTCTATTGAATATGACATCGTTTGATTTCAACTTTGCTGAACCTACCGCCTCGTATAATGATTCGGTTGATACCACCATGGATACACACTTTGAAGACATTGGCTTGATTCAAAAGTCAGATTTTGTTGTGCTAAACGGACGTCCAGTAAAAGTAGTTGAAGTTACACATTCTAAACCAGGAAAGAATGGTCGTCCAAAGGTTTGTAAAAAGAAAATTTTCATTTTTCTACTTATTTTGAATTAATTTTTATTATTAAGGTTTGTTTGGTTGGTATTGATATATTTACAGGCAATCGCTACGAAGATATTCGTTTAGCCGCAGATAAAATTCAAGTACCACATATTATCAAACAGGATTATCTGGTAGCAGATATCACAAATGATAACTCTGTTACTTTATTTAATGAGGAGACATATGAATTTCATAATGAGATAAAATTAAACAAGGATTCGAATATCGCTGGTCCATTGCTCGACAAGTTCAAGGAAGATATTGGTCAGATAAAGATTACTGTTCTCAAAGCACTCGGCGAAGAGCAAATTATAGCATTCAAAGTGATAGAATAGTATTGATGAATGCCGAATTTTCGATTGCACTCATAGAACACTTATTTTGAAACAAGAAAAAGAAGATTTGAATAAAATCAAAAAATAATTGAAAATAATATTTTGTTTTTATTTGAGTGTTGGTACGCGTTTTCTAACAGAGATACCCACACCCCAACAGAATCTTACTAATGTTCTCTCGATAAAATAAAAATTTGAAAATAACACTTGTCATTGTCATGTTATACATAAATGCATGTCAATTGTATCAACTATTTTTTGTCAATTGTTTACTAAACCCCCTCCCAGAATAAAAGGGCATGCCCTTATACAGTGTCTTGGCACATCGCTAATTTTTGGATGGCCTTCTATTGGGAGTCAATTTTTGGCCAGTTTTTAATTAAAATCATTTAAAAAATTAATAATTAATTAATAACTTTAATCATTGCTTTTTAGGTGTTTTTTGCTGAAAAAACTACCATTTTTTGTAAAAACTGTACTATTTATGATAGGAAAGGAAGGATTTCGCAAAAAAACATTAGAAAATCGGTTATATTTCCTTAATTATTAATTAATATTTATGAAAATTTCGATAATTTTGGAATATATTAATTAATTAGTACATGGCCTTCTAATAGAGCGTTTGAACTTTTGCTCGGACATGGCCTTATACAGGGGGTGGCCTTCTAATATAGGGTGGCCGTCTATTTTGGGGGGGGCTTTAATCCATAATCTGATATGATTAGTTCTTCGTGAATCTCGATGAATGGAGTATGTAGACGATACATGTTTTTGCATCCACTCAATAAGTTCATCTCTTGTTGATGATATTGAATGTTGATTTTGATATGGATCATTACGACAACGAAAAATCAAAGCTCGAAGATTGGGCATTCCATGGATAAGATCTAAAATCGTTTTGCATTTCTCGATCTTAATAAAAAGAACTTCACACTGACGTGCTAGTGATGACCTGCTTAATGCTAGACATTCTTCAGCATTGAAATATCCATCAGATGGATGGGTTTTCATGAAACAAAGTCTATGAATCGATACGCTATTGAGTTTTAATCGTGTGAATCGTGAAACTGACTCTAAACGAAGTGCCAATGAATAAAGATGAGGTAAACGATCGAACAAATTTTGTAACTTCAACTCGAGAGAATCTTTTGTCTGAAGTATTGCTCTTGGAACCAATTGATCTAGTGTCGAAATAATGCGTCGAACATTGCTTGATGCTGGAAGTCTAAGTTCGAGACTTCGAAGATTACAAATATTAATGGAAGGTAATGAACAATAATCAAAATTATCTTCATTCGAAATCTCACGTACACAGTCATACGACCAATGATCTCGATCGTCAGAACGGGTTGATTTCGATCGGTGAAGTAGATCGCAAGGAATGAGTCGGTCGAATTTATAAGGTAACGTATACAGGATAATAGTTTTTTTAGTATCATCTTGACTCCAATGGCATCTAACAAACCATCGATGTTTGTCAAGCCAAAAAGAAGTTCTAAACGTATCCAGCAGTTCATCAACCTCTTTTTCTATTACATGCTGAAAAGCGGTATAAGTCATTTTTAGTTGAAAACGTTTGATTTTTGGCAAATATTCGGAAATTTTCTGATTCAATTCGTTACCAGACAAACAAATTTCTCGTACTTCTAGAGTTAAATCAATTAAATTTGGCATACTACGGAATATGTCGTACAGTAATATTTTAGACTTATAAAGCGATACTTTTAAAGTAGTAACGAACGGTACAGTAGTTAGAACTAATTTCACATCACTAACGACTGAACGCATTATCGAAAGGTTTTGTAGCTGTGGTGTATGTTCAAATAGATGGATCAAATCGCTACTCAGTAGTCGGGATTTGTTGATGACTAAACATTTGAGTAACGTTGCAAACGTCTTTAATCTCCTCCAATAGATCCGACTGTATGTAGTAAAACCTAGATTGCAATGTGTCAACTGCGGTAGACTCCAAATTTGATTGATCAAATGAACATTACTATCTTCATCTTCAGAATAGCATGCAACCAATTTCAGCTTAGTCAGATGAGAAAGATGATAACATTCTAAGATAATACTTTGTAGTATCGTCGAGGAACGCAGTTCATAAAGTGAAAGTGATCGCAGATGTATAAATTGATCAAGAGTAAAACCATATGAAAAAAATAGATCCGGTTGTTGTGCAGTTTCATCATCGTCTGACAAATGAAATGAAACAACTCGATCGACGACGGATAATAAATATTTACTACAAACGAGATCAAAAGTATCTTTCGACACTGATCGAAAATTGATATGAACTTCGCGGAAATAAGTGCGAAGAAGTGAATAGAAGCGAAAGTTGAGATTGCGAAATGAATGAAAAATACAAACTCCATCTAGATAGTCAAATATATTAAACAAGAGCTCGTTCGGCAGTAATTCCAATTGCATGAATATTACTGTTTGAATCGAATACGAACTTAATGTACCATTTGCTTTTGCGAAGAAAGAAAGAAACTGATAAGAAAAGAAAGAGATAGCTGTTGTAAATAATATTTTATTAAATATTTATTTCAAACAGAAATAAAAACGGAGGAGGAGATTCGAGCTTTCGTGTCCTTATCTGGAACACATCTTCACGAAGGGTGTGAGTGTGAATGTGGGTGTGGGTGGTAGTAAAGCGACTGAGAGACATTCACACCCATACCCTATTCAAATCATATCTGTATTCAAAGATATAAGATTTTTTCAACTCAAAATCCTACTACTTAGAACTTTACAAAATATGTAAGTTAAATATCTTTGCTTGTGAAGAGATTGCACTAAAGGATTCTTTTTATTCTCCTTTTATAGACTTCGGAGAAAAATATAAATACAACAACCTAATGTAGAGAAAAAGCTGAAACTCTATTATACCTTCACGACAATTGTTTGTCAATTCTGTTTCTCGTAATAGATTTGAAAAAAAATGTGCTGTTTTAACGCAACGATTATTTCGATACAGATAAAACACGAGCAATAAAAAACTGTAATGTTATTGAAAAATTTCTAACAGAATGACAAAAATCGTATCGCACGATACAAAAACTATTTTCTTGATTGGAGAAAAAAAGAAAGTTTCTGTCTACTGATGATTAAATGTAAATAAACAATTCTAATTCTTTCTCATTACATGTATCCTTGTAAATTTCTAACTATCAATCAATCAAAAATAAATTCTTCAATATGTAATATTGATCAAAGCAAACACAAAATACATCACTTCCATCGTTGAAATTATTTTTAATGATGATTTATAACGACTTTCTATTAGTTCTTTGATCAACCTCAGATTCTTTTTCTGCACAATTATTCACAATAAATCTAACCTCAATTAACCCTTTGAGTGCCGGATTGTTTTTATATAATAAAGATTTTTATAATTCCAAATTAACGTTTATTTCGCAAAAAATATCACAAAGTACATGAATTAAAATGCTTGTAGAATGTGATAGTCTTTAAAACAATCCATAATACACAATCCTACATTACATTCAATGCATTCATACGAAGTATCTCTTCTTGATCTGGCTCTTCTCATAGTATTGGCACAAACGTAACATTTTCTTCTTGAATTTAGTTGAGTCTCTGTTGATTGAATACGCGAAGGAAAATGTTATCAAATGTGATCAATTGATCAGAATCTTTACTATAGATAACACTCTTGAAGGATTGTGTTAATATGAAAAATTCTGTTGATAACGATTATTCTTTCTTGGGAAATATTGTCCAATGACTTATGTTCTAATTCATTGAATCATATAGTGGTCGATAGAAATATTAGGGAACAACCAATATTCATGTAATTCATATCATAAAATAATCAAACGATCATGTTTTCTAAAGTTATTCAGACCCTAAACTATCAGGACGCGAATTCGCGTCGCCGATACTCAAAGGGTTAAAGGTTGGATAAGTTAGGTGTGGGGTGTAAATGTGAATGTGAGTTTCATTAAGTTGTACCTACACCCACATCCTATTAGAGAAATCCTCTCTATATCAGTTTGTCGGAATGTATTAGTATGAAATAGCATAACTAAGAATATCATGAACTGAGAAAGATATGCTTTATTTTTGAATTAAGTTTCTCGAAAATCTTTCTTTGAATAGTTTAGAACATTTATTGGAGTCAAATCAATTCAAAGAAAATGTTTTTACATTTGTCATTTGTTGATGGGTTTTTTGACAAATTGTTTATAAGTGCCGAATAGACGATCAAAATCAATTAATGGTGTTCCATAATTACATTCGAAAAATGCATGATGTAAATAATGAAACGCTGCACCTCCAGCTGGATTATCATGACCATCATGTCCACTGATTGGTCCAATATCAGCCTGAAATTTTGCAAAAAGAAAATGAAGTGGATGACAAGAAAAAAGAAGAGGAAAATAAGCGCGTGTATAATAGAAGAAATGTTCAACTGGATGCATCGATAGTCCAGACCATGGACCAGGATTATGGCTTCGATGATGAAGACTATGAAAATGACGATAAAGAAATGCACCAATATCACCTTCTCGTATTCCATTTCGAACAGACCACCATGGATGCATAAAACGATGACTCTTGAATTATAAAATAGTTTTATAAATGAAAACTCATAATCTGACCTACCCAATAGAAATGAAATGCACTCCAATAAGTAACACTTAAAAGAATAAAAATTGAAAAGAATGGTCGTGACCAAAAATCACCATAGTAAGGTAATCGACCACTAGCCCATAACCACATAAAAATGCATTGAACGAAGGATGATTGTAACCAACCAAGTGTGGTGAATGTTATTTCTCGCACTAAATGATCTTGGCCTTTATCTTCATAGGGATTAACTGGATTAAATTTTTTTTCATGTAATGGTCCTTGAGCATATGGACTTCGACGTGCATGAGTCATCCAATGCCAAAATGGATAAGTAGTAAATTCACAAGCAATATTGAAGAGAAAAACTCGAAATACCCACTGAAAATGCCATTCATTTGCTTCAGAAAATGTTAGTGGAAATATCCAAAACCAACATAGAAGTGCAACACTAAACTCCACTGCACGATCTAAATGACACCAAATTAGATAATCAAATGCTTTTCGCTCCCAATAAGACCATTGTTTATACGTTCTGAATATCAATGGAGTTGAATAATTTTTTTGACCCGTATGAAGACGATGAATTCCAACGATGTTATGAATACCAAATGTCATTCTGATTATATCAATTCTTAGAGCAAAAATTTTATTTCTTCAGAATTTACACTAATCTCAGCATCGTTTGTTCTTCACGTTTACCTTGATAAAGATAAGAATAATAATAAAAATTATATGCATTTTTTTCCTTGTTTCTTTATCTACACAAACTATTTGTTTTTTATTTTGAGTTAAACAAGTATTGACTACTTCACACTATCTGGGCACGTGCTTGTTATAAGATATAGTTTTAAAAAAAACATCACTATTGATGTGATTCTCATGAATTGAAATTATATTTTCATTAATATTTGAGTTGCATCTAACAAGGGAATTTCTCGAGGTGTCAAAAAGCTTTCCGATCAGAGTTGTGATGGTTAGATAGGGCATAGTTAGAAGTGATATACCCCAAGTTGCTTCTAGCATAAGTTATGCATTTTTGAAGTTAGAAGCACACTAGATGATTTTACTACGAAACCTTAGGTTTTTTTCGAACCAGAAAAAACATATTAGTCTAAATTCTTACTGTGTCTATTATAAGCATTGATCTTGATCGTTTAAAAAGTTCAACCCAAAAAGATAATTAAGATACTATTTATCTTAAAGATTAGAACTGGTTCTCGTCTTTCTTTCATTAGCTTAAGAGATAAATTTTTGAAAATTGATGTAACTTAGCTATTGCAATAAAATATTATGTTTCCAAGATTTTTTTGTCAATTATCATACTCATAATACCTAATTCATGCAAGCAGATGCTACGTTTTTCATGATTTTGTTTTCACTATATTCTGTTCTTTTTATATGATATTCACGCATGCATATGAGAAAAAAAATGGCACTTATTTTCAAAAATTTATCTCTTAAGCTAATGAGAAAAACGAGAACCAGTTTCAGTTTTTAAAATAAATAGTATCTTAATTATCTTCTTTGATTAAACTTTTTAAATGATCAAGATCAATACTTATAATAGACACAGTAAGAATTTAGCCTAATATGTGGGTGTGGGTGTCTTTTCGGGTATTCTCCTGATATCCATACGTACATGCAGCATACTCCACACTCACATTCAATCACACATAGTCTTTGAAAACCATTATAGTGGTTGTGGATGTGGGTATTGGTGTCTTGAGGGTATTTCTCTGACACCGACACCCACACTCACACTACCCACACCATTCTAGCCTTTACCGTACTCGTAGCCATGCAACTATTTTCGTAGAAGATTTTTCTGAAACTGCACATGTTTATGTCAAAAATCGAATTGGGAGATGCAGTCAAAAAAATAAACCCTTGAGGTGTAATGAAGGCACACTCCAAAGTACAAATGAATGTGGCTGGGTATAGATTTTAGCATTGATTCGATCAAAATACGAAATTCTCTAAGCTGCCTATAATAGAAATACTAATATTAAAAACAAAATTTGTCCTTGAAATCGTTCTAAGTCGTCATTACATAGTGAGTCGATGATTGACAATAATAATATTCATGTTTCAAATGATGGCACGAGCCAATTAAATGCTTATATCGCAGAAACAATACCATATTGCTTTTACGACGCTTTTTTCTTCTATAAAGATCACTTTTTTTTGCAGAATAATTAAGCACCTAAGAAAGCAGTGAAGCAATATCGAATTTCTATTTATCGAAAAATTACGTCGTGCACTTCTTCATCTTCAGCGGATGCGAAAAATAATACCTCGTCATTAGATATAAAGGTGTGGTACAACTACAAGTGCAACTACAATCGCCGCCCTACAACTAGGTAAGCATTAGATTAACGTTTTTTTTTATCTTGCTAAATACTATTTTTTAATCAAGTACATATAGTTGCTTTGTATGTAATAATACTTTGCAACTAGCTAAAGATTACATTGATAAGATAAACGGCCTGATATCATGAGTTATTCAATG